AGTTTTTTGCTTTTTCCTATTTATTTAGCACAACCAACATTTCTCATACCATGCTTGTACAGCCATTTTCACTTACTTCTAAAATTGACTCTTTCTTTCCCAAATAATTCTTTTTCTTTCTCATAATACTCATATAACTTCCCTAACTGATTTTCCAGCTTTCAATCCGAATTCCCGTTTGTAATACGAACCGGAATTACTTTGTCTTCCCAAAATGCCATTCCAGCTCACCACAGATAATTCTACCACAAGATTATCGGTCGAGTTCACATATTTTAAAACCGTATTATCTTTGGAACAAAAACCTCAAGAAATCTCACCGACTTCCACCACAAATTTTTCTTTTTCAATAGAATCCAAAGGTCTTATAAAATAATGGAGACGGATGACTTTCTTTCTTTCATCGGAGAATTTCACTCTTCGGGGATGATTTTGCTGGCGGTGGTTCTCGGCCCTTGCTTAGAGGAAAATTCAGGACACTCTAAATATCCATTTCTTTGCAGTAGAATTTGATAACTTTTCTTAACAGTTTGGGGATCCGCCCTTATCGTCAACATTGTTAGGTATTGATATTAATTTCTGTTAAACTCTAAAAACTACCACAAGATTTGCGTCTTGGTATTAAAGGCATCGTAAGATGGTCAAAAAGTTTTTGCTTCAATGCATATGACTCCACCCTTAAAAAGATTAACTGTTAGTTTCACTTGCATTTAGTATTATCAATTTATTGGGAAAAAATCTACTTTTTGATGTTTGATTTAAGGATTACCTACCTGAATGGGTTTAAATATAAGGGTTTTCAGCTTTCTACCCAGGATCGTCTTTTCGAACAGGGCATATAATCTTTATTCATGCGTTTTTTTTACTTCAAAATTTGCAAGAGCCAAAAGATTAAATACGTTACAAATAACTTGATGTACCAAAAAAAAAATAAAAACATCGACAAAAAACAGGTCACCAACTTCATAACAAAAGTCTATCACTGTTAACCTGCAAATAGGGCTAAAGCATGGGTTTATTATGTTTTGTTTTGTGTAATAATATCAAGTTTGTTCATATTTTTTGCCGCTGGAAAGAGAGTAGATAGGAAAAGGGTAATTAAAAATTTATTCTCCAGATTTCTCCCAATTTAATAACATGCTCCTATAGAGAACACCGGCCCGTTGAAATTCTCTTACAATGATTTTGCGTTTCGTCAAAACCATTATAACTGCAGAAAAGCTTGGGAAGGAGGTTTTGGAGCAGTTTACAGAGGAATTTGAAAGAAGTAGATTATGTTTGTTTGTTCTCCCACATGAAAAAATCTTAGTTTTAATCTCTCTTCT